TCCACACCATTTGAGTGTAACTTGTAAACATTATGGCACTCCACTCCTAAATATTTCAGCATGAATTTCCCAAGAACAAGAAGATGAACATTAATTCTACAGTATCATCTAGGACACTATTCCATATATAAAGCATTCCCAAAACACCTAAGTATCTTTTGATAGCTTTCCTGTTGTTGCTGTTGTTGTTTTAGTTCAGGATCCAATTAGGATTCACTGATGCATTTCAGTGCTATGCTTCCTTCGTCTCTTTTTAAAATGTTTTATTATTTTGTTATTTTATTTTATTTTTTAGAGACAGGGTCTCACTGTGTCACCTAGCCTGGAGTGCAGTGGTCTAATTACGGCCCACTGTAGCCTTGACTTCCTAGGCTCAAGTACTCCTCTCACCTCAGCCTTCAGAGTAGCTCAGACTACAGGCACACACCACCACACCCAGCTAATTAAAAAAACTTTATTTTTTTAGAGATGGGATCTTGCTATGTTGCCCAGGCTAGTCTTGAACTCCTGGCCCCAAGTGATCCTGCCACTTTGGCCTCCCAAAGTTTTGGGATTACAGGTGTGAGCCACTTCTCCTGGCCTCCTTCGTCTTTTTTAAGCTATCTTTTTTTTTTTTTTTGGTTTTGTTTTCTATGACATTGACCTTTTGGAGGAGTCCAGGCCAGTTGTTTCCTAGGATGTTTCTGGGTTTGTCTGACTGTGTCCTCGCCATTAGATTCAGGTTACACTTTTGACGAGAATACTACACGGGAGATGTTTTGTGTTCCTTGTTGTATCACTTGGGGAGGGACATTATGCCAAATGGTCCCACTATTTGAGATGCTAAATTTGGTCATTTGGTTAAGGTAGTGACTTCCAGGTGTCATCATTGTAATAGGTTTTCCCTTTGTAATAAATAAATCTGTGGTTGGGTGGGAGGGAAGGTGTTGTGACAGGTCCACTCATGGCTGCCTAGCACCCAGTTCCCACTTCCCTGCAACAGAACCCCAATTTCCTTTGCTGCAGGAAAAAATCAACACAGATGTCTTCGTGGCCCTCTGAATACTCAGTGGCTGTTGGGCCCTGTGGCCAGGTATGATGGCTCATGCCTGTGATCCGAACACTTTGGGAGGCCAAGGTAATCCCAGTACATTGGGTGAATAGCCTGTTCCCTAACAATTTTTCCACTCAATGACTTTAATATCCTTTGACAATTTTTGCCTCATTCAGTTAATCCTCTGAAGGTGGAAAAATGGCAATTTAAAAAATATCAAATTCCCGCTGTACTGGTTAGCTGGCATTTTTTTGCAAAGAAGAATCTCCCTGCTCTCTTTCCCATTCTCTCTGTCACTCTCTCCCTCTCTTCCTCCCTCTCACTAGAATAGGCTAATGGATTTAAAACAATTAAATGTGCTATAAGCCATTACTCTTTGTATTCTTCTTGATGTTCAAGTTGTCCCACATCTGACTACTGGGAGCCTAGGAGGCAATTTTTTCTAATTGGGCACATGCCTGCACCCAGGAAATTGGGCTTCTGTTGTAGGGAAGGGGAAACTGGGTGCCAGGTAGCCACGAGCAAACCTGTCACAACACCTTCCCTCCCCAGGGCCTCAGTTTTTTGGGCCTTAGAACAGGGTAATAAAACTCCAGGATGATTCTGAGGACTCAATTAATTGGTTCTGGATTAACTGCATGAAAATCATGTGTGCTTGTGCCCTGAAGCCTGGCACAAGGAAGGTCCTCAAAAAGCTCTGCTTCCCTTCCCCTCCTTTTCTTCACTTCCCTTGCCACTGCCTTTATCCTTCTCCTACTATGGATCAATAATGCTGCATTGTCTTCACCTGTTTGCTCCTCGGTTTTCTCATCTGTGAAGTGGGGATAAAGAACATATTGGTTGTTGTGGGGAAAAGAAAGAGATCAGCCTGTTACTGTGTCTATATAGAAAGTAGTAGACATAAGAGACTCCATTTTGTTCTGTATTTGAGATGCTGTTAATCTGTGACCCTACCCCCAACCTTGTCCTTGCAAGAGACATGTGCTGTGGTAACTCAAGGTTTAATGGATTTTGGGCGTGCAGGGTGTGTCTTTGTTCCTAGAAAAGCTAGGTATTGTCCAAGGTTTATCCCCATGTGATAGGATGAAACAATGTTGCTAAAAGGTTTATCTCAAGGCACAGGATTATCCTTTAAACTTATTCATGTCACAGAGATCCTTGTTCTTGTGTCTTACTGCTAATTTCCTCCCTAAAAACGATCCTATTGTCCTGCCACTCCCTTATCTTTAAGATGGTAAAGATAATTATCTATAAATACTAAGGGAACTCAGAGGCCGGTGCCAGCGTGGGTCCTCTGTAAGCTGAGCGCCGGTCCCCTGGGCCCCCGCTTTTCTTTCTCTATACTTTGTCTCTGTGTCTTATTTCTTTTCTCAAGTCTCTCGTTCCACCTAACGAGAAACACCCACAGGTGTGGAGGGGCAGGCCACCCCTTCAGTTGTCATGAGGCTCACCTATGCTGCTGTAAGTCTGTGAAATTCCAAGACTCCCCAAGGATTCTTCACAGTGGGAGTGAGGCCACACAGAGTCTCATGGTCACCTTTGGCTCCCACTTGTTTTGCTGAATTAGCTCAGCACAGATGTCTTGATGGCCCTCTGAATACTCGGTGGCTGTCGGGGACCCATGGCCAGGTGCGGTGGCTCACCCCTGTAATCCCAGCACTTTGGGAGGCCAAGGTGGGAGGGTTGCTTCAGCCCAGGAGTTCAAGACCAGCCTGGGCAACATAGCAAGACCCAGTCTCATATACATATACATATATATACACACACATATATATACACACACACACACACATATATATATGCCAGGTGTGGTGGCATGTACCTATAGTCCTGAGAGGCAGGAGGATTGCTTGAACCCAGGAGGTCGAAGCTGCTGTGAGCCATATTCGTGCCACTGCACTCCAGCCTGGGCAACAGAGTGAGACCATGTCTCAAAAAAAAAAATTTAATTAGCACTTTGGGAGGCCGAGGCAGGCGGATCACAAGGTCAGGAGATCGAGACCATCGTGGCGAACATGGTGAAACCCCGTCTCTACTAAAAATACAAAAAAAATTTAGCTAGGCGTGGTGGCGGGCACCTGTAGTCCCAGCTACTGGGGAGGCTGAGGCAGGAGAATGGCATGAACCCAGGGGGTGGAGCTTGCACTGAGTGGAGATTACGCCAGTTCACTCCAACCTGGGTGACAGAGTGAGACTCTGTCTCAAAAAGAAAAAAAAAAAGTAATTGACGAAGATTCTATATATTTAAGGTATACAATGTGATGGTTTGATATACATACACATTGTATAATGCTTATCACAATGAAATTAACACATCCTTCACCATCTATGCCGTGCACTCGATCCTCAGAACTTGTTCATCTTTTTTTTTTTTTTTTTTTGAGTTGCATTCTTGCTCTGTCACCAGGGCTGGAGTGCAGTGGTGAGATCCCACTCACTGGAACCTCCGCCTCCCAAGTTCAAGCAATTCTCCTGCTCAGCCTTTCAAGTAGTTGGGATTACAGGCACGTGCCACCACGCCTGACTAATTTTTTTTTGTATTTTTAGTAGAGATAGGGTTTCATTATGTTGATCAGGCTGGTCTCAAACTCCTGAACTCGAATGATCTGCCTGCCTCAGTCTCTCAAAGTTCTGGGATTACAGGCATGAGCCACTGTGCCTGGCCAGAACTTGTTCATCTTATAACTAAAGTTTGTACCCTTTGACCATTTCCCCATTTCCCCACTTCCTAATCCCTGGTAAGAAAGGGGTGAGGAGGAGAGAATGATTGAGAGAGAGCAGTAAGGCTCTGAGATTGAGAACAGCTGAGGGTGAAGAAGCCAGTAAACATCCCAGAGCTGGTGTGACCATGGAATCTTTAGGAACAAAAGTATCTGCTAGTTTCATTCAAAATACTTTATTGGCACACCCCACTCCATCCAGGTTGCCAATAGGAGCTCCAAATACTTTTTGCCTTTTTCATGTAGCCATCTAGTTTTCTCAGCTCGGCTTCAGGCGCACTTTTGCAAATCAAAGCCATTCAGCAACTCAGAGGAACAAAAAGGGGCTTAGTTGAAGGTAGCAGTGTCTGACTGGCAACCGTCTGTGTGCTCCCTTACACATAGGGTCCTGTGTAAGAAGCCTACACACAATGCCTGGCACACTGCATTCCACACATGGTATGTACACTCCTTGGGCAATGCCTCCTAAAGGCTTAGGACCATTCCCTGTCCTCCCGCGGCACCCACACTCAGATCCTGCCTCACAAGACCCGACATGATTTGGTTCTTCACCGCTCCTCTGCTCTCTTCTCACTTTCCAGCCATGGGATGGCCCCTCTTTCTCTTTTCCTGCCTGAGGCTCCCAGAAAACCTCTTTCCCTACCTTCTACATAAATCCTACTCTCCCTTGGGCTCAGTTCAAAGCTTCTGCCTCAGAAGTTGCTCTGGCCGCTGAAATTAAGAGGCCTCCTTCTGTTCATTTCACTCGTGGCATCACCATGCAGTTTTCCGTGTATCACCGTCAGTTTCCTTGCGTGCATGTTTGGCTTTTCACTTGTTTCCCCTCTTGCACTGTAAACCTCTCAAGGGCAGGACACTCGCTTTCTGGAGCGGCGCTGTCATGCTCTTCACGTGTATGCTGAATGAATGAAGCGGTGAACCCTCAGAAATTCGCCTCCAGATGAGCGCCTTGGCCTTCTCGGCGTCTCCTGGCCTTAGAACATCACCGTTGGCTCTCCCTCAAGTGTGAGCTCCCAAAGCGAGAACATGACCCTGTCCTGAACCCAGGCCACCACTCCAGGGCCTCCGCGGGTACACATCTTCGGCCATAGCTTAACGCACTCTAGCAGGCGCAGACAGCCACGCCCCCACCCCTCCAGACGGAAGGACTGCAACCCCCACAAGGCACCGCGACTCAGCGCCACCCGATTGGTGAAGCCTCCGGCAGCGACCAATAGGACGAGGTTTTGTTGGCGTGTGCTGCGGCCGCGCGAGTCCTGGAAAGCGTTGTTGGCTCGGTTGCTCTGGAGCCGGGTCCGGGTCTGGTGGCTGCCCGCCCTCCAGCAGCTCGCGATGGGGAGCACGGAGAGCAGCGAGGGCCGTAGGGTGTCCTTCGGAGTGGACGAGGAGGAGCGGGTCCGGGTGCTGCAGGGTGTCCGGGTGAGCGACGCCGCCTGGGCCGGGGCGGGCGTGGAGGCCGCGGGCGGGCGGGGGAGGTGCGGGGCGGAGCGCGGGGCCGATGCTTCTTCCACGCGTGAGGGACGTGGGGCTTGGGAGACTCCTGGGGCTCAGGCCAGGAAGAGGCTGCACCGAGACGCGAGCCCGAGGCTGGCAGCCTTGTAGCTTCGCGACACCGGCTTCAAAGAGGGAGGAGTGGAGAACGGGACAGGTGCGAGGCCCCTGGGACGCGAGGGACGCCCTGGCCACGTCCTGGCTCCGGTCGGCTTAGTTTTTACGTTTCTTGAATTTGCGCCCGGCCTCCTAGCCAGTGTCCCCTCAGGTGCGCGCATTCAGTTCTGGGTACGCGGTGCCTCCCACCTGGGCTTTGCCTGGGGACTCAGCTCTTCCCCGCCGGTCTGTTCTCCACAGCACATCTGCGGGGCGCTGGAAGAACCGTAGCTCAGATACGATCCCCTTCCCTGCCTGAAACCCTCCAGTGGGTTCCTAGCGCGCTTGGATATTGCCTTACCTGGTTCCAAAGCTGGCCGGTGCCCGCCGACCTCTGGGACTGCATCTCGGGCCATTTCCCTCGCGTGGCAACCGCACGTCGTCCCCAGCCTCAGGACCGCCGTGTTTTCCTGGAGGGTGCCGCTGGCTCAGCACAGGGTCTGTGCGCCGGCTGTTCTCTCTCCTTCAGCTCTCCTTAAATCCCGCTCCTTCTTGTAATTCTTGTAGTTCAGATATCCCCTGAGAATCCTTCCCTGACCACCCAATCTGAAGTAGCCTCCCACCCCCCGTCACACATTTATTATTTTCATAGCACTCATCACAATGATCACTTTTATTGGTAATTGTTTACTTGTTTATTGCATTTACCGCTAGAGTGTAAGCTTGTTGAGGCTAAGGTTCCTGCCTGATTGAAGACTGTCCCCAGAATCCAGAAAAATAAAAGCAGCCCTTATTGCAGGGTAGGGGCCATGCGTTGGACTAAACCCTGTATAAGTAACTGATTTAATTTTCAACAGCCCTGTTTAGCCCATTATTAAAGATTAAGGAGAACTAAGGCACTGAGAGGTGAAGGAACTGATCCAAGGTCATGTAAATAGTAAGTGGGAGAACTGGGATTGAAACAAGCCAATTCCGGGGCATGTTGCTGTGCTCGGCCTCTTCCTACACCTGTGTCTACACCTGCAGGTGCTTTGTAAGTAACTGTGGAGAGATGAGTGAACCCAGTAAAGGGGACCAAGATTAAATGAAATGCACAGAGCTGGTTACAGGTGAATTAGTTAAGGAGGAATTAGGGAGGTGGCTTAGAAAGACAGACTTTAGGAGGTCTTGCAGGTGCTCATTAGCTGTGTGACCTTGGGTAAAAATCTCTTTTGAGCCTCAATGGCCACGTTTTAAAAAAAATGATGTGTATGTATCCTATGTACTGCCTAGGATAAGATGATGTCTGTGAAAGTGTTAAGGAAACGCACAGAGAGAGTGCTTTGAGGAGGCCTCTCTTCTTAGCCTAGCAGAGTACTTGGCACATTTGGGGCTTTCTAGGTGTTGTATAGTTTTGTTGACCTCCCTTGTGGCAAGGATTAAACAGGGGAGGAGACGGCTTGTGTTGGAAGGCCGAGAGGGAGGAACCTGAATTGGAATTTAGAAAGATAAGCTTGGCTCTGTTTGGGTGCTCTCACCCTTATGATTTGGTCTCCTGTTTTGGGGAATGTTGGAAAGTTAAGTTGGAGTCTTCAGAGGTTCAGGGGAGTGCCTTTGGGGGTGCCTTCTTCCAAGTTGATTGGAAACCTCATGTTTTTTGAGTGTTATATAAGACAGGTACATTTTATTTCGAGTTCTCTTAAATACTTCTGCAACATATAAATTCTCTGTATTTAAAGATGGAGAATTGGGCTTGGAGGGGTTAAGGAATTTGCCCAAGGTGTTAACCTAAGTAACTTCTGGGACTTTAATTAAGATCTTTTGGGTGCAAAAAGCAACTTTTTCTCACTTCTCTAATTCCCTCCCCTCCCCACCCCACTGCCCATGATGTATGCAAGGCAGCCTGAAAATTTTGTGACAGTACCCGTACCTGTCCTTACAGGGATGTTAGTGCCCCACTTAGTTTTAAAACTAGAAGGGACTTTGGTGACTGACTGCTTTCTTTTCCAGCTGGGCAAACTAATCAGAGAGAATAAATGACTTGTCCAGAGGTGCACAGTAAAGTGCACAGCCCCATGTAATGAGAGCCATGTCCTTCCTTCTGCTTGTGTTTGAAAGAGGAAAACTGAAGAAAGGAGGTGATGGTAATGAAGAAAGGATGTTTTGGTGTAGGGGCTTCTTCTGTTAGCAGAGTTGCTTGAGGGTTGAGGAATTCACCTTGTCTTTAGGTAAGTGAGTGAAAAAGATTGCCAGATCAACAAAACAGTTGCCAAAGTGAACAAATGAGTTAATTTAATGAGAGGCAGATGCCAAAGAAGAGCTGCCCCAGCTTCTTTAGAGCAAGTTGAATATTCTTAATGACCATTTGTATTTAATTCCTGAGGCCTGGTCCTAAAAAGTGTTCTAGTCCCTTTAAGATTAAGTATTTGTGGCCAGTAGTGGTGGCTCATGCCTATAATCTCAGCACTTTGGGAGGCCGAGGTGAGCAGATCACCTGAGGTCAGGGGTTCAAGACCAGTCTGGCCAACATGGTGAAACCCTGCCTCTACCAAAAATACAAAAGTTAGCTGGGCATGGTGGGCACACACTTGTACACCCAGCTACTTGGGAGTCTGAGGCAGGAGAATCCTTGAATCCAGGAGGCGGAGGTTGCAGTGAGCCGAGATTGCGCCAGCCTGGGTGACAGAGAGCGACTCCATGTTAAAAAAAAAAAAAAAAGATTAAGTGCTAGGCCTTGCTAGTTTACATACTTAATTTGCATACATTCACAAAGTGTGTTCAAACCGTAATTCCATGGAAGGTAAAAGAAATTTAATGAATGCAAAATGCTGCAGTTATATTCAACTCCAGTTTTCAGAGCAAATGTATGAAATATGTAAAGATTTTGTTTCAACCAGTACATTTAACCTCGTCCTTCAGTAAGAGAAGGCATACATGGCAGTCATGTCCCATATGTGTCCACCTTCCCTCTTCTCCTCTCCACATGAGTTGCCACCTTTGGTGATTCAGCTGACGTTGGTTGCTTGTGAGCATCCAGACACCTCACTGTTCACCAACCTTTTCCCCTTTCCCATCACTGAGCCCAATCCTGTTCCAGTCACTTGCATGTTCCCAGAGTCATTATCGCCTCCAGGCTTGATCAACTTTACCATCATGCATTGCTCCCATGAGGCTGATTCTGGACCACGACGGAGGGGAAGATCAGGAAGAATGTAGTCAGACACACAAGAGAGTCCCCTCTGTGCCAGTGCCAGAGAGGCCGTGTGCCAGAGCGCTGTACCTGCAGCCGCCAGTTATTCCTCACCTCAGTGAATGTCCACTGTCTTCATGTTACTTGTCCAGCACTGGGCCTGGCCTTGCTGAGACAATGAGGGACAAAGCCAAGGACCCTGTCATCATAGAGACCTCAGCCCAGTAGGGAGAATGGACCAGAAAAGAAGAGACACAGGCAAAAGACTCAAAGAGCTGCAAGAGCTAAGGAGGAAACAAAAAGTGTGCAAAGGCTACAGGGGCTGCCCACTTGAGGTGGGATGGTCAGGCAGTGCCTCTCAGGAGGAGATGTTGACATGTGGCCTAAGCCAGCCCTGTGAAGCGTGTGCATATTCACTCTGTGCTAAGCACTGTGCCTGGTGTATTTGGAGCATCACCCCCGAAATTCCACATGCTTACCTTGTGAGGGGTCATTATCCCCATCTCAGAAGGGAGGAAACAGGTTCAGTGAGGTGAAGTAACCTAAGGTCACAGAGCTGGAACCTCAGGGTCTCTGACTCCTTAGCCCACGTGCTTGGCAGCCACAAGGAGGGTAGGATGCTTGAGGATGTGGCAGGTGGCAAGGCCAGACTCAGGGCCTAAATGCCAGGCAGGGCTGTGAACATGTTGTTCTGGAGGCCACACTGCAGTTCTCTGGTCAGGAGCAGAGCTTTGGAAAGGTTCTATCTGGTGACACTGATTTTTCTTTAAAAACAAAAAACAACAGGTTTAAGCCAGGTGCAGTAGTATGTACCTGTAGTCCCAGCTACATGGGAGGCTGAGGCAGGAGGATCACCTGAGTACAGTGGTTTGAGTCCAACATAGCAAGACCCCATCTCTTGAAAAAAAAAAGTTTTTTTGAGATGCATTTTACATATTATAAAATTCACCCATTTCAATGCTTTTTAGTAAATTTACACAGAATTGGGCAACTGTCACCGCAATCTAATTATAGAACATTTACAAGACCTAAAAAGATGCCTTGACCTGTTTGTAGTCACTCCCCATTCCCACTCCCAGTCCCAGGTAACCATTAATCCTGTTTCTCTATAAATTTACCTTTTCTGGATATTTCATAGATAGTCACCTCTTGGTCTTTCAATGACTTATCTATGGGTCATTGGTTCCAGGACCCCCATGGATACCAAAATCCTTGGGTGCTCAAGTCCCTTATAGAAAATGGTGTATTTGCATATAAACTACACACATTCTCCTGTATACTTTAAATTATCTCTAGATTACTTATAATACCCAGTGTAAACTTTATGTAAATAGTTGTTACACTGTGTTTTTAAAGATTTGTATTATTTTTTATTGGTATATTATCTTTTATTCCTTTTTCTCAAATGTTTTCCATTGGATCCATGGATATGGAGGACTGACTGTAAATGATTCATGCAGCGTTTATTTCTGGCTTCTTCCACTGAGCAAGTGTTTTTGATGTTGGTTCATTGATGTAGTAGTATATATCGGTAGTCTATCCTTTTTATTGCTGAATGGTATCCTGTTTTATGTATGTACTGCATTTGGCTTATTCAGTCACCAGTTGAGGGCATTTGAATTTTTTCTACTTCTTGGTTATTGTGAGTAATGCTGCTATGAAC